GTTGCCCAGAAACAAGGTGCAGGTTAGACTGAGCAGGACAGAAAAAGAGACTTTTAACTATCATAGAAACTGATGAGATGAAACTATGTCTTTGAGCTAAGATAAAGCCTTTAGGGAACTAGGTAGTTTTCTTGCACACTCTGTGTGTGTGTGTGTGTGTGTGTGTGTGTGTGTGTGTGTGTGTGTCTTGCATATAAACACAGTCCATAGCAAGAGCAGTGTGGTACATGTTCCATCTGATCACCTTCACATGACAGACTTGCCCATTATTCATGGAGTGGGAGGGACTGAGTACAAATTGGGGATTCCGTCTGCCCATAGCCTCAGTTTCTTCTCACAGACAGGAAATAAGCAGACGAGATGATGGTCAGGCTTGAGGACTGGGGGTGTGATGCCAACCACAAGCTGGGCAGAGGTAGTCTCAGGCCAAACAATCCAAAGTTCTTTTTTTTTATTATTATATTTTTATTTAGGTTAGAAACAATCTTGTTTCACATGTCAATCCCTGCTCCCTCTCCCTCCCCTTCTCCCCCCCGCCCTCCCCACCAGGTCCCCCAGTCCCCCACCCAATCTTCACTCCAATCCCCAGGGAGGGTGAGAGCATAGCTGCCTTCCAATCCAAAGTTATTATGTGCAAGAATAGTGAACTACCCAAAACTGGTGAATTTTTACCACAGACTGACCCAGTTGCTGTTGTGGTAGTTGTAGATTTCAGAGTGTTCTGCCCTTAATTGGCTGTTTCATTTCTCCTCAGAACTTGTGTAAGTTTCTTTTTGTGCTGGATACAATTTAACCTAAAGGGAATTATTATTAATCAAAAACCATGGTAAGTAAAAATTTCCAAGGGGAACTCAATATGAGGGAGAGTAGAATGAGTTATCCTTAGGAGTAGGTTCTTAGGACCATTTTAATGTATAGGCCTGCTACCATGGAAATGCCTGCTTGAATTTGAAAAGGAAGTCTTGTTTCTTTAAGCTAAAGGCTACTCATGATTGTTTCCTGAGATTTCTCTATGTTTAGTATGTCTGAGACTATTAATATTTATAGATTTCACTGTCTGAAAAATAGTGCCATACATATAAATGAGCAGCATTTGTAGGGATAATGCTGAAGGAAATGCACTCACTAGCACCTACCTACTTTGATTCCAAATGTCTTACTTAAAGATCATGTGCTTTGACCATGTTTGTAAAACGAGAATGGGGGTGAAGAAGCCTCCAAATGCAGTCACTCATCTGGGAACTTAATTAGAAGCCTGATGATGCATGCAGCCTGGAGTTGTTTTATTTTCAACTAGTCATCTGCAGCCATGTGTCCCACAGAGGGAAGCTGCCAGGCTCCCAGCAGACTGTGCAGCTTGGATGAGCAGCATCATGGGCCGTGGATATGCAGAGTGCAGCTGGGAACTGTGGCGAGTGGCCAGACCATCAAGGCAAAGATGAAAGCCAGTGTTTCTGGGGAGCTTTCCTTCAGTGCGGTGTCATTGGCACAGAGAACAAATCATTCTACGGTCAGTTCTGCTACTAAAAGACCAGCAAGGCAGTCTTCTTTTAAGACAGCTCTATTCGTCAAGAATGCCCCTGTTCTCTGGGATAGCTTAGTGATATGCTACCGAAGGAAAAAGCATGTTTTAGCTTGAGAAACTAAAGCAGCAGATCTATGACCACCTGGGTAATTTGCATGTGTGTCTGTCAGAAAGTGTCACTGCTGTGAGGCTTGGTGGTGCATGCCTGTAATCCTAACCCTTGACAGGATATTCTCTGAGTTATGCAATAACAAGGCCCAGTCTGTAAACATTTCAGGGGCTAACAATGTAGGTCAATGGTAGAGTGCTTGCCCAATATACATGGTTTCAATTTCCACCAAAAAGGCATCCTGTTTTACACAGAGGGGGGGGAGAGAGGGAGGGAAGGAGGGAGAGAGAGAGACAAAGGAGCAGTTACAATGAAATGGTAATGTTGGATTAGGGAGGCAGGGTTTTTCTTTACAAGACCTAAACCCGGGCCATGGAAACTTTCTAAAGTAGAGTAGCTATTCTTTTAGTAAATATATTTTTGAAGAGGTAAGATGTGTTAAAAATGTTCAGATAATAAAGATAAACATCTTCCTGTTTCCGAGAGTCTGGTAGTCTAAGTGTACCTGGCCAAAGCAGAACAGAACATACAGGGAAGAGCCAGGATCTGAAGTAAGATATGTCTGTCTACCCATCATCAGAAGGGCAGATAGTAGGCTACATCTGCAGTATCCGAGAGCATATCCACTTCTGTGCACAAGAACTCTCGCCACACACACGGCATGTAAGTGGCAGTTGCCTTAAGAAAGAGATCCAGGCTTGAAGTCTTGAAGAATTGCAAAAGCGGAAGGAGGTAAAAATGACTGCTTACCCCGGAGAAGGCTGGCTGGCGTTTGGACAGGAATGACAAACACTAATCGTCTGAGGACATCATTGTCCACACTGCTGTAGGTCTTTCTACAGTGACAGGAGCAGCTCACTGTGGCCAAACTGCACAGACGTCGTCATTTATGTGGAGTCTGTTTTCATTCCTTGTTTCTGAGGTGGGTACATAGTAGTCATTCCACACCTTGGTTGCAGATCTTCCAATTACAACCCTGGCACCAAATCTTTTAGGCGCTTCCCTGTTAGACAGCATTTCACAGGTATCGCGTTTGTTGTTGCAAACATTAAACACATTCTGTTTGTAAGGCAAGAGTGGAACACTCCTAGAAAGGTGGACCTGGTTTCCTCCAGTCTTCACCCCATGAGATCTTGCACTCTGCCATAAGTCAACAGCACAGATGCAGTCATCTCTGGAGCCTGTGGACCTTTCTCGTGGGTCCATGAGACTCAACGTCTGGGAGTCCTCAACCCTCATAAAATCTGGAGTTTAACCTGAAAGGTAGAAGAGGGACTTGGCCACTGAAGGGGTCTTGTCTTTGTTGGTCTAGTTGAACAGGAATTCAAGCTACCATGCCTGTCCTGTGCTCTTATTAGTCACGAGCAAAGGAAATCTTAAGTTCTGTGGGAATATATGGAGTCTCATAACTGAACAGTCTAGAGGCTCTTGATTCAAGTTCCACGAACAGCTCAAATGAGGTTTCATTTCTGGGCATTGCTGCTTCTTCCCCAAGTGGTTAGGTGTGTGCATACATGCATGAACACATGTATGCCTGTATGTGTGTGTGTGTGTGCCTATGAGTTTGTGTATGTGTGTAAACCCATGTCCGTTCTTGTTATAATGATAGCTCTGCATGTTCCAAGCTCACATTTTTCTCTCCAATAGGGAGAGGCCAATGTTGAAACATGGAGCTTTTCAGTTTTGTTTTTTGTTTTGAAACATGGAGCTTTTGAGTATGTTTTGCTCCATTTACACACTCTGAGTCACACAGGGAGGCCTTTGGGGCTCTTGGCATGAGCTGCCCCACCCCCGCCCTGTCTCTGCTAAACAATCAGTATCTAGAAGGCATTTTCAAGGACTCGGGTGAGGAGACCCTGGAACACCAAAACCACAGTCAGTTTTGACCCCATCCTTTGCCGCTTAGGAATTGCTGGTCTACCTGATAAAGTCTATGGCTAGTCTTAGTGTTTGTAGGATGTTAGAAAATATTTACACCAAAGTAACTAAAGTCCAGTACAATCTTTTGCTTAAAGAGATGACTTTAAAGTCCATGTCTGAAATCTTTTTGTATTTTTATTGAATCCTATACCAAACTAATGAACTAGACACTGTGATTCAGTTCATAACACTGCAAACTTTTTGTGAGTAATTGCGACTATTTCTATCAAATCAACTTAGAGTTTGACCTTACTTCTCTACCCTAATCTGCTAATTGGACTGAATTTATTCCTGCAGCCTTTTATTGCTGTCTCTTTTTCTTATTACACATTTTCCAAGCATAATAATTTAACTTTGTTCACTTTGAGGAAAGGAAATGAGCACTTTGTGAACAAATGTCTTCCAGAATTGGCTAACCTTTATATGCCACTCAATGGGAAATACAATACAGTTTGTAAGATATTGACCTCTGAAGAGACTTTATTCCCGTTGTATAATTCTTTGAGTTTGAATGAAAAATCACCTATGCTGTTGACTGCATTCATACTACAGCTAAAATTGCATGCACTGTATATTCATAAAATTACTATATTGGTCACGGTTTTTTTTCTATTTGTTGAGGTAAAGGAGGATGCCTTGTTTGGCATATGTGAGTCATAAGACTAATGAAAAGTTTGTTTCCAAAGCACTAAACCCATTTTACATACTTTTTCCTAGACTTCATCATGGTTAGGGAAAGGTGATTGATATTTAAACACAATTGGCAGAGCTTAAAAGCACCCAGATGTCTTCCATGGAGTATAGCAGAGGTATAAGCAACAGGAGTGGTACATTAACTGCGCTACACTCTGCTAGAGAGAATAAGGACATTTTGGGGGGCACTAACAATAACTCTTTCCTTTACATATACACTGTCCTCCTTTCTTCTGTTTCTTTTCCCCTCTCCTTCTCTTCCTTTTATTTTATTTTATTACACTAAGAAAAGGGGCATTTTAAATATCTAAAATTATCTAAATGTATAATGTCACTCCACTTGCACATTAAATCTGTTCCTGCTAAGAGAATAAAGGGGAGAGATGTGACAGTGTGGGTGGCTCTGGTTCCTTTCCATGATCACACACCCCAGACTGAGCAGTGAAGATGGGAATTGCAGCCCATGCTTTCCTGTTATGTCCCAGTTTGGTCTGTGTTTCTTAACAGCTGGGTACCGTGCTGCTCTGAGCAAGGTCCCTCCATTTAAAAACAGAGGTGTTTCAAATAAAATGGTCCCAAAGACAAGGCAGCCATTTGCCTGGTGTCAATGTGCAGGGATGGTCGTATGTGGTGGAGGGAGAAGCTGGCTGCTCTAGGCTGTGAGCATCCTTCCAAATGAACACACAGATGTGTTCATTGTTATTCATGATAAAATAGAGACATCTTCTAGACTGATTAAGATATTTATAACCTTAATATCTCTTCTGTAGAATGTGCAGCAGCAGCAACTCTTCCCCCTTGAAGACTTTAGCATAGATGTTTATAAAGCTCATTAATATTTCCAAAGCGATGTCAGTTTTTCATGAGTTCTTTCTGTTAATAATTTAAGAATATGCATCCATGGTCTTTAAAAGAAGTATTCAATTCATCCTGTCTACTTCTAGATTTTATCCAAGTGATGTATTCTATAAATAAGTGAACAAAATACAAATACATGTAAAAAAGCAAACCTATGAAAATGATAATTTTATAATGGCTTCTCAAGATAATGTTCTTATAACTTATTAATTATTATGCTTGCTGAAATTAACAATACCCAATTCCTGCCAGATGTTTTTGTGCCCAACACATAGCAAACCCACATGTACTTTCATGTATTATAGAGTAACACAAAATGATTGGATTTGTACACCTACACAAAATTTCAATATATTGCATGTATATGTATTCAAATATGTATGCAGTTTGTGACCTAAATGTATTCACTAGAAAATTCTACAGTATGTCAAAATATAAGTAATAACTATAGGTAGAGGGAGAAATTGTTTTAAAAATATTTTGTAGCTTTCATTTCTGCAAAATGAAGATTTATTTGGTCAGTCAATGCTATTTGTAACATGTGACAGTTTAATGACAATGAATAAAACATTGTGTTAAATAAAATCCCAGCCACAGTTCCAGTTCTCAGGAATTGCATGTGGCCAGTTCCTGCCAGACTAGACAGAGCAGACAGAGAATTTCCAGCCACACAGCACTGCACTTGACATAGAGGCTGTAATCTTCAGGCATTCCCTGTAGAAACACTAAACATCTTCATCAAACATCTGCTTGGAATGAATCTGTTTTTTCTTCTGAGCTCAAGGCAGGCAGTGGGAATTGACTGCTCACCATTAAAGGTCTTCATTGAGACTCTGAAATTGAGAGCTCGCCTGAGCTGGCCTGCTACCCCATCTGTGCAGTCTGACAAGAGTACCCTCACATTCTTCTAAAACGATTGACTAATGGTTCAACCTTGGGGTTCTGACTCGTCTTTTTTTTTTTTTTTTTTTTTTTGGTTTTTCGAGACAGGGTTTCTCTGTATTGTTTTCGAGGCTGTCGGTCCAGCCTGGCCTCGAACTCACAGAGATCCACCTGCCTCTGCCTCCCGAGTGCTGGGATTAAAGGCGTGCGCGACCACCGCCCGGCTCTGACTCGTCTTTTTAAATAATGAGAATAAGAAGTTCCAGAAAGATGGACCAGTGATTATAGTCTGTCTCTTATTCCAGAGGTTTCCACATAACAAAAGTTTCTAACTAGGGTGATTCTACAGCCCATTAAGCATTGTTATTTTCTTGTAGGCATTAGATTTCTCTTTGGAAAATACTTGCATCCATCCTAAGGGAACCAGGCAGATGCAGAGCCACTACCTGCCAGAGCTCTCCTGTTTTGGCTGTGGCTTCAACTGCTTTAGGAGTGGTCTGAGTGTCCTTCAGCAACATTATAGATCACTCCTTGTCAGCCTCAGGTAGTTGTAAGGCAAATTTTGTGAGCATACCATATTTTCATCTTTATTGCATTTGCTTTTCATCCCTCCTTTTTTCTTTCTCTTTTCTGCTCTCTTGCCCTCTATATTTCCTTTTCCCCCTGCTTTTTATTAATCTTTATAAGGCTGGTGTTTATTAGAAACATTATCTGGAGAACTATATTTTTTTGTGATGGTTGGCTAAGAACCAGTGCTGAGCTGGATGATTGCGTGTGCTGCTTTTGATTGTAACAGGGATATATATTGCAAAGACCCATGAAGGATGAGTTTCATTTTGGTTTTCTCACTAAATTCAGAGTTGGAATTTTTACTGCCTTGTATATTTGAACTGGTTTTAAAATACCAAAATTTAAGCCAAGTTAAGGCAACTGGGGAACCAACTATTTTCAAAGGTGAATTTTACACCCTTCTAATGTTCTTTTCTAGTATTGGGTAAACTTTTCCTTAAAAGTGGAGTAGAGAAAAAAATCAAAGAAAATACTGTTTCTGTTTTTTACTGATTATCTTCCTGAGTGGGCTGTGAATTGCATTCATCATGTGGGAAAACATCATGCAGTGAATCAGAATTATGCAAAATAAACATTCATCTTAACATAGGCATGTTTAAATTGATAGTTTGAACGTCTTCAAGGCCTTTGGGATGCATGCTCGATTTGCTGTTTCTGTGTGTCTAGGCTGAGTGTTAATGATACTTTAATGGAAGACTTGGGTTGCAATATTTCGTGACTGTGTTTGCAAAGGCAAATGCACTGGGCGTCTACAGTGTTGCTCTAAGTCTTCGCTGAATGTTCTAAGTTGTTCTAAGATCGTCTTACTGTGAGGCTTATATTCATTTTTTCTGTATCTATGGCACTAACACACTGGTTACTTGTAACATTTAGTTTACTGTCCAATAAAAATAATGCATTAGTTTCACCAGTTCAATTCATAATTGAAGCTAAATGTTTCAGTTATTAACAGAATCTGAAAATAGTGTTGAGTGGCCTCTAAATAAATGTATAAGATACCATTTGTCATTTGAACGTGAAAACTTAAAACTAGATTGCCCCCATACACACACATACTCCATAAAAAGACATAATCTTTATTGTACAAAAGTCAGTTTTTCTAGTTATTCTTTCTTCTTACTTTTAAATTGTAATCTTAAAACTTATTTTCTATAAAATGAACATGAATAAAGCATTATTGACAGATCCCCCCCCATTCTTCTACTCTGAGCATCACTAAGCATTTTGAATGATTGTCATGTGTGGAACATGATGTTTTTCTAAGTTTTATATCATGTTGGCATCTCCCACTTAATGGGCTGTCTTTCATAGCAGAAACTATATAATAGCTTGATTCTCTGTGATATTTATATCTCAATAATAAAGAAGTATGTTAATTGATTTCAAAGTAACTTAAACTACAATGGTGATAAAATTAGAATCAATTAAGTTTAAAACTTTTTGGTAAATTACCAGCATGATGCCAGGATTTTCTTTTTTTTTTTGTTTTGTTTTGTTTTTTTTTTTTTTTTGCTCATTTCTCAGATGTTGCCTACAGCTTTGGTTTGTAAACAAAGACAGCAATGTAATATGACTGCTTAGTGTAACTCTCTCTCTCTCTCTTTGGGTTGTTCCCTAATTTTAGAGAAAATGTTTTCCCCACTGTTGCAAGCCTTCCTTTTTCCTCCTTTCTCCCTATCTCCTTCGTTTCCTGAGTCACATCTCACTGGGCAGACTAGTCTAGCCGAAAGCCTGTACTTCCTGCCTCCCGCTTCCACATTCTATAATTACAGGCTTATCCTATCATGTGTCATGGAACTGAGACCAACAGGCAGTTCTGTGCATCTCCTGTGGGCAATAAAGCCACTTTTGAGTCAGCTCCTCCCTCTGTACCTGGGAGGGAAGATGTCGCAAGAGTGAGAAGAGATGGTCCTGTGGCCTTGGAGATGGAGGAGTCAGGGTGATAGCCTTGATGCCCTCGGCTTGGGCCCCTCTACTTACAATATTAACAGCATACTATGTGGAGACATAGAAATACAAACATGAGTAAGGTGTATTTTCTTTGGTGGTTTACAATTTTTTTAGATCAAAGTATGTCTGAATTAACAGACATTGACTAAACTACGCAGGAGCCCATAATCATTACTCAGGTATGCTTATTTACCAAGAAAACACTGTTCTTCTATGGAAATAGAAGCAAATAGTGATCATCAAGCCAATTATAAAGCTACCCATTCATATAAAGAACATGGACATTCAGGTGAATGTATAGACAAGGTTGTAGGTAAGTGTTAATCTCACATAGATTTTAGATGTGTGGCTTAGGGAATGGGCTTTGAGCGCATCCCTATTCCTAACTTCAGACAAGTTTTTAACTTCTCCAAGCCTGCAGCACTCTAATATGTAAACTGAAGTGATGGTGAAATCTAGGGCTTCTGTAGTTCATTATCTGAAGCAAGAGAGTTAAGTAACAAATTAGAGATGTTCATACCCCTTCTCAAAACAAGCTGCAAATTTCCCACCTTCTTCCACCAACTAATAGAGCCTAACCTTTTGGCTTTGCTACATAATATTGTCCTCTACAAAGTTGACATTCAAGAGTTGGACAACTGAGTTTGTTGTTGCTGTTGGTTTTTTGTGATATTTTTTATTTCAATTGGTTCCCTCTCCCTTCCATCCTCCCCTGCCTCTCATTGACCCCCTATCCCATCCCCTTTCTGCTCCCCAGGGAGGGTGAGGCCTTTCATGGGGGGATCTTCAAAGTCTGTCACATCATTTGGAGCAGGGCCTAGGCCCGCCCCAATGTGTCTAGGCTAAGAGAGTATCCCTCTATGTGGAATAGGCTCCCAAAGTTCATTCATACACTAGGAATAAATATTAATCCACTACCAGAGGCTCCATAGACTGCCCAGGCCTCCTAGCTGACACCCACGTTGCTGTTGTTTTAATCACAAAATATCTAATGGTTATGCATTGGGCCACCCCCATAGCTATCCTTGAATACAGCCATCTGTGAGCCTCAGTTATACATACCAGGAAACTATACTTCATACCGGAGCCATGGACTGGATAAAGTTTTATCTGAAAAGGGTTGGGGATATGCAGTGTATGCAGTGATGAGCAAGAGAGGGCCCTATGTGTTGTGATCTCAGTGCTGAAGTCCAGAGTCAAGAAGCAATTGGGATGGATGGATGGATGGATGGATGGATGGATGGATGGATGGATGGATGGATGGACAGGCCATATCTGTGGTCATCACAGAGCCACCGAAGCTCAGTCTTCCAGAGGTAGAGACAGAGATATCTCAGACACATCCACCTATATGTATCCCAAAGTTAGCTCTAAAAGAAGTATGTTTGAACCTTTGAGAATTCTCAATAACTTGGGTACTTGATGGGATTAAATATGAAAAACAAGAAGATTTTATAACATTTTGAAATCCCACTTCTCATAGATGGGATTTTATTTTTAAGTACTTTGACTCACAGCATTGGAGACACATAATATAGCATTGTTATAGGATGTCTATTTACTGCCTGTGTAGTACTTTTCTATGAGTCAGCCATAATTTGTATAGCTACTCTTATAATGCAGGGTTATCAGTGGGTATATTGGGTTTTCTTATTGTTGCTACAAAATAGCATCAGTTCCTTACTGTAGAGCCCTGTGTATCAGAAATTTGGCAGAGTTTTCAAAATAAGCAAACATCTGATATCTTGGCAGTACTGCATTCCAGCCTGAAGATGGGGAGAATCCATTTCTTACCTCGGTGGGCTCACACCTAGCCCTACACTGTCTTAGTCTCCATAGCCACACGCCCTCTGATTCCTCTCTCTTCCTCTTGAATGTGGGAAACCCCTGTGGTTTCATTAGGCCCACCTGGATACTCAGGCTAATCCATCTCAACGCTGTGCCATCTGGTTAGCAGCCTCGATTCTATATAAAACATTAATTCATTTTTTACCGCACAAAGTAGCATCATTACATTTAGGTGATGCAGAAATGGAAACTTGAGGGAGACCGGTATTGTACCTGTCATGTTGTGTTTTTGTTGCCAGAGTTCTATAAATAACACAGTAACATTGGCAATGCCCTCATGAGTTTCCTTCTACATCAGTCTTTAATTAAATCTCTATTTCTTTAAGTTAAACAGATGGCCAACTTCCTCCTGCAAATTAAAATATATATTCTATTTATTTACCCATCATATATAACTTCAGGTTTGCTATAATCCCTAATAATTACTTGATTTACAATGACTTAATAATTTGTTTCCTGAGTTATTCTACAGAGTATAAAATGTTGCACCCTGTTACTCATTCTAAAGATCTCCCTAAGTTGTCTTGATAGACTCTTGGAGTGGTGTCTCCCCTAAACTAAATGGGCAGCAGGCTTTAGGCACTGAAGGTAGCCTGTCCAGGTGACACTGCTTCCTACATGACCTCATAGATTCCCCATGGCTTATGCTGAGCCAGTACAGTTAGGGTTTTTGTTATGGGTTTTATTGTTGTTGTTGATGATGCCCCCCCACTTTCTAGATGACCTTTACAGCATTTCCAAGCATGGCACTGTAGAAGGCTAGGAGAGGGTAAGGGCTATGAGGATGAAGCAGGAACAAGATTATTTTGACCCTAAAATTAAAAGAATGGGGGTTGTTGATCACTGGTCTGTCCAAACTGTCCCCCCACCCCATCCTACTCTGCGTTTATCACAAAGCTGGAAGAGGGTCTGAAGCAGTGGTGAGAGCAACCGTGCTTCTTTGCTCCAGGCCTAACTAAACTCTTTCTTCTTCTTCTTCTTCTTCTTCTTCTTCTTCTTCTTCTTCTTCTTCTTCTTCTTCTTCTTCTTCTTCTTCTTCTTCTTCTTCTTCTTCTTCTTCACACAAGTGATGCTGTTACTCCTCTTCCTTTTTGCCCAGAAGAAAATAATTGGAAATCTTTTTAAAGGCTATCAAAAAAAATACACCAATGACCTTCATAACAGAACACTTGCCCAAGGAATTGTAATAATTAGCCCTGGATATAGAATTGTTTATCAGAATAGAAGCAGCTGCAAGGAAAAGAATACTGGGCCTTACAAAAAACTCCTTAGAGGTGTATTGGCACATGCCTATAATCTCAACAATGGAGAGGCCGAGGCAACGGGATTTAATGCATGCTCAAAGTCGGCCTTCTGTCTATGAGCTGTAGGCTAATGTGGGTTAGAGCATGACTGTGAAAATGACTAAGTAAATAATCCTGGTCTGAAAGTCAGTTGGAGTATGCATGCTGGAGCACACCTGTACTTCCAGCCCTCGAATAGCAGAGGCTAGAAGGTGACTGCCATATAGTCAAAGGCCATAATAGTGAACTAAATGAGTTCATAGCCAGCCTAGACTATAGAGTGAGATTTTAGCTCAAAACACCAGAAAGATCTAATCAGACAAACAGTAAACAAAAACTACTCTTGCTCAGTATATGGTTAATTCCCCCAAACATCATTTATTGTGATAATATGGAGGGAGTAGAGGGGGCTTCCTTCCCTCTCTGTTCAGTGTCTGTGAAAGGATTCCCTCATAATGTCTGTCTGAGGTATCTTTGCTGACACTGAGTTCCCAGGGGAGAGGTAGGTTTCCTTGGCTTTAATCGTCTAGAAAAAGAAATTGAAAATGAAAATACTTCTTAATACAGAGGTTAATACAGAGCATGTACAAGTATGTGTGGTGTGACATGTGTGTATTGGAGTGAATGAAGCAGGTCTAGGGCTTTTCCATTTAAACATCAAAGAGCACCGTGCTGTCAGCATGCCCACACCAAACAGACATCCTAATTTACTGCTTAATAATGTATGGGCATGTCAGGTTTCTCTTTGCAGTACCTTTCCCCAGGGCTGTTCCAACTCAACTAGTTTCCAGGCTATTAAAAATTGATCCGCTTTCTTTCTCTGATATTTGGGAAAAGAGAAATAAAATTCATCCATATTAGTTTCAAACCCTTTCTTTTAGACTCTCCTGATTTCAAACAAGGCTTAAGAGTGCTTAAATACATAGAAAGGTAATAAAGTACAGTAATCTTTAAACTTGGAGATTTGGAGAATGAGTCAACATGGGAGATGAACTGTGCTCAGGCATGGCCTTGATGTGTGAGTTAAGGAAAGGGAATGGTACAGTGATGTGCTCAGCCTTCTAGCCAGGACCATGCTGGCTAGTTAAAGTCACCGATTATTTGTTTCGGTGGTGAGATAGGATTCATCTTTGTCCTCATGTTTGAATATCACGTTACCTTCTCTTTTGGCATGTGGCTTTTGGGGCCTGATAGTCTCCCTCATTGGAATGTAAACCACCTTCAATCTTTCTATCTTCTGCTGTGTCTGGTGCATAATAGATCCAGAAAATGCATTTTAATTGCATCACATTGCGACATTTTGCCGTTAGTACATTTACATTAAAATGCATTGTATCATCATGAACATTCCTGTATTTTAATTGCTGTTTTGTTTTGCAGAAAATACTAAGCTCCTCAAAAAGACAAACAAATATGTGCCTGTTCCTTGTGTTTATTTCATGTTTGTTTTACTTAATAGTGGATTTAGGTGAGTGTTGGCGACTGAAGGTGCCTGGATGCATGGCATGTACTAATCTACGAAATTTTACTACTTAGTAGAAATGTTTAGGTAATACGTACACATCATTAGAAATTAGAAGTGGAAAGAAGTATAAAAGGCTTATCTAAATAGAGACTGAATGCTTACCTTTGTTTTAATAGGTGAGCTCTGTTCTACATGTCACACTACCTTCTGCAAACTCTTGATCTATTCTCTCAGTTTGTGATTCCCTGGGGACTTTGATTCATAAGAAGTGTATACTAAAGTATATACTTTTACATAATCATATTTTGTGAAATTTTTCTAAAATGTTACTTTTGCATAGAATAAAAAAATCTAGCAAACTTTTTCTTACAAACAAACTTTTGAGGACATCACAGCTTAAAATATTTTTTTCTTATCGCCTTTGATAGTCAGTGCTATGAGCAGTGCTT